CTTCATCAATGGGCCGATGCGCGCCGTTCGCGCACTAGCCGATCGCCGTCGATCCCTTTGTCGCCCGACTTCATTGGTTCTCCCGATGGCCATGGATCCCAATCATCCATCCTTACACAATCTCCGGCACGCCATACCCATCCATCTTCCATCCTTTTCTTACCTCGCCTTTTAGCCTCTGAACGCCAAGCCCGTCTCTTCCTCGTACAAGCCTTGCACCAACAACATTGGCCCGCCTTTTGTGCCTTTGTTTTGCGTCGTCTATTGGCCCGGCGCTTCTTAACCTTCAACTTAGCCCGTGGACCACATCCTTTCAGCCAGTCCCTTTCGCATGATGGTCGATATATCGGGCTTGATGGCTCCTCCAACATGTTCTCCAACCATATATCGAGACCATCGTCACCTTCCTCGTCCGACTCGCCTGGGTTGATGACCACTTCCGTATCATTCCCCTCCTCTTCAAGACTTTCCTTGTCCTCAAGGATTAGAAAATTCAGCGCACCATCATCTTCACGGTTTTGAACTTCACCCTCCATTGCTCCTCGACCTTCTACGAGTTGTCGCTCGTATTCTTCTCGATTTCTTTGCTCATGGAGCTCGTCTAGATATGTGCTCTCCCATGGAGTAAGTTCTCTCTCCAAACTCTCCAATAATTCGAGATCTTCCCATTCCATCTCGTCCATTGGCACATAAGACATTTTTTTTTAAGACTCTAAAAAAAATTCAAAAAAAGTCGAACCAAAAGAAATAAAACAAAAGAAGTCCGGCCCCTCAACAAAAGGTAATAATCGAACAAAAATAAAACAAAGGACTAGATGACACTTTTTGTTTTTTTGATACTCTCGAAAATTTTTCAAAAATTTGAGGAAAAAATTCGAAAAAATTCGAACAAAAGAAACCAAAACATTCGAACAAAAAGAAAAAGAATGGGATAGAAAAAGTTAACGAACACACAATCAATCACTCTCAATAAAAGCACCAATGATGAAGGATCGTGTGTTCCATTCCCTCGACTTGTCTCGATCACGGCTTCGCCACGGCCTTGCTCTCGATGATAGGTGTGATCGACTCGGTTATTAGCCTAACTCTCTCACGATACTTGAGTTCACTCGGGTCTTAGCCTTGCTACACTCTTTTGAACTAGATCGGGTCTTAGCCTCTCTAATTCGGTTGAACTGGCTTGGGTCTTAGCCTCACCAATTCGATTGCATGATCGAACTCTCACGAATCCTAACACACGGTTTCGAAAAAAAACGTTCTTTATTCAACTCATCAATTCTCTTCCCTTAAAACAATGAGGGATCATCTCTATTTATAGATCCTAACTATGACTAATTCTAATCTACCTAGGAAACATATTAAAGCAATAAAATATTAAATTCCTAAACAATATAGATATTATTGTGCAAGAAGGAAACTAAATATACTAGAGTCCTAATTAACTAGATCTTGATCTTGCTTGGCTTGCACTCCAAACAATTCCAAACTCACGCCCAAGTACTTGTTCGGCCGCCTTAATGCGCACTGCCTTCACGAGACCTAATCCGTGTCGCGCGCGGCTTCACGTGCGCGCGCCTCCCACGCGTCACCATCCGCGTACACTTTGTCCGTGCTGCATGCTTCCCATGCGTGCTCCCCATCACTCGGCACTCCTAAGCCCGCAAGGTTTAGGCCTTGCGCATGTGCGCCCCAATCGCGCGCCAGTCCGCGCGCTTCCTCAATTCCGCCAGTCTCGCGCGCGTCATCGCCCAACACGCCTAATCCTACGAGGCGTGGTCTTTTATCCGCGAAGCTCCACTCGCACGCCAACGCGCACGCCCCATCCTCGTTGTTCGTCTCCTGCGCGTGTGCGGCCGCACCCGGCATTCCTATGCCTGTGCGGATTCGGTCGTCCGCGTGCGTCCCGCCGCCATGATGACAGACCGTCTTTTTATCTATTTCCAGGTTGTAAATAAACGTGCACTCAAGGCCTTCGTTTATCCACGATAGGTGTATCTAACAGACGCACTATCGGCCTTCTCCTAGACACTGTGACTTCATGACGCTCTAATGGCCTTCTCTCCGACACTGTATGTAAACACGCACTAACGGCCTTGTTTAAACACACGTAAGAACAACAAGTTCCCCCTATGAGATTCACTCATCAATTTCAAGACTCAACATGTTTATTAATGAAGAGGTACATGGGTATTTATAGGTGCAAAATAAATCTAAGCCTACTAGATCTAGATCTCCTAAATCTTGCAACAATAGAAATCCTAATACTAGAAAGCAATAAAATCCTACTACTACCAAAATACTAATTTTCTTGCACACCAAGCATCTTGATGCACAAGTAATTCACCCCAACTTAAACTCTCGGCCGCCTTTGTACGTCCGCGTCGCACGCGTCATCTGTGCGCCGCCTCTCGCGCTCGCCTAGTCCTTCGGCAACTAGGTCTCGCCGCTCCCACGCGTCGCCTGTTGCGCACGCCTTGTCCTTGTTGACTCCTACCTGCGCGTGCGTATTCGGCATTCCTAAGCCCGCGCAGATTGGGACATCCGCGCTTCCGTCCCACTCGCGCGCCTTTTCGCGCGGCTCGCTATTGCTGGCCGTTATCCACGTGTCCTTGCTACCGTCCGCGCCCCAATCGCCTACGGCACTCCCTATTGTGTCCTCAGCTTCGCGCGCGTCGTCGATCCCCGCGGTCAGCTCGCCTGGCGCTCGCGCATCATCGTCCGATGTGCGTTCTTCGCACACTAGCTGTGCGCCTGTTCTTGTGCCGCCGAACGCCAACACATCCCAGTCGACGCCCATGGTCTGTTCGATAGCCGTGCACCCATGTTCATCCTGTTCGGTCCAACAGCGCGCATCATGGGCCGATGCGCGCCACTCGCCCATTAGCCGTACTCCCTCGCCTTCCTTGTCGCCGCTCGTTCCCGTTGGCTCGGGCCATGGCTCGCAACCTTTCAATCTTACACAATCTTCCGCCGGTATCCACCATCCACCTTCAACCCATCGCAAACCACGCCTTCTAGCCTCCTTCTTCCGTGCTCGCCTTTTTCTCGCACAAGGCTTGCACCCACAACGCGATTCCTTGGCCTTACGCTTCCTAGACTTCACCCCTAGCTTCGGACCACATCCTTTTGGCCAATCTCGTACACATGATGGCCGGTATATTGGACTTGATGGCTCCTCTAGCATGTTCTCCAACCATATGTTGAGATCGTCTCCATCCTCATCCTCTGACTCGCCTGGGTTGATGACCACTTCCGTATCATTCCCCTTCTCTTCGAGACTTTCCTTGTCCTCAAGGATTAGAAAATTTAGCGCACTTTCATCTTCATGGTTTTGAGCATCGATCACCATTGCTTCTCGGGCTTCTACGAGTTGTCGCTCGTATTCTTCTATGTTCCTTCACTCATGAAGCTCATCTAGATACGTTTTCTCCCATGGTGTGAGCTCTCTTTCCAAACCTTCCAACATCTCAAGATCTTCCCAATCTAACTCATCCATTGGAGGGTAAGACATTTATTTTTTTACTATAAAAAATTCGAACAAAAAAAATCGAACCCAAAAATAATTCAAAAAACAAAGAGAAATTCGGCCCCTCAACGAAAGGTAATAACCGAACAAAAATCAAACAAAGGACTAGATGACACTTTTTTTTTTAAGACTCACGAAAAAAGTGAAAAATTCGAACAAAAATTCGAAAATTTCGAACAAAAAATAACAAAAATTCGGTCCCTCAGCAAAAGGCAAAACCGAAAAAAAGAAAAAAGATAGATAGATAAAGACACGATCAGCACCTCTCAATGAAAGCACCAATGATGACGGACCGTGTGTCTATTTCTGGGTTGTGAATAAACGTGCACTCAGGGCCTTCGTTTATCCACGATAG